TTTCCTGCTATTAACTGGACAAACATACAGGAATCAGATTAAAACATGCAACAGCTCTGCCTCCTGTTTTCCGAATGTGATTTTGAGATGTGTATTGCTTATTAATACTGGATAAAGCCATCAGCAAAGCATTTAAATACTTTCCAAATGAAGATTAAAGGGGCTGTTATTCCACAAAATTTAACATTAAAATACTATGCTTATAAAATTTTTAAAACTTTTGGTCCGTAGATTTCAAATGCAAAACTTAATAACTTTTATTAAAAAAAAAAAAAAAATACTCCAGTGGCATCATTTCTTTTCAAAGAGATTCCTTTGGATTTTCAAGCTCTCTCTCTTCACCTGATGTTCTAGAAAAATAATAAAGCAACATTAATAGCCATATAAAGAATTTTAGACATAAGTCTTATTTTAAAATTCATTGACCTGGAATAAGACTAGAATCTCAGTGTGTTGATGCACATTCAGCAGTAGATGAAGTTTGGAAGACTGAAGCAGTTAGTGATGCCAGCTTCTCTCCTTGAGAGGACTGTGTCCCCCCCCCCCAACACCCCCACACACCAATTGAGCTCAAGTCAACATGCCAAGCTGTGAACTGCAGTTATTCAGGATCTGATTTGTATTCCATTCAGGCGTTCCTGAATAGTAAGCCAAACAGTTTTTTACTGTAGTTCTGACACTGGTACCAGTACCAAACTTAATGCCCTTGGAAGTGTAGCAGATGGAATCCAATATTCTTTTTGTGCTGGAAAAAGAAAAGGAAGTTTGTGTTGACTGCAGGACCATGCCATCAGCAGCGTGCGCATTCAAGCTTGTAGCTTCCTTTCACTCCAGTCAGCACTAGAAAACTTTTCACATCCTTCTTCTGGATTTTAGCAGTGGGGTTTCTTCCGCTGAGTTATAAAACCTGAATGACTGCAGCATATTGCTCCAAGTTGTTTGCAGTGACCATTGCAACAATCATTTAAGGTTTACTTTCCCCCTTATAAACAGAGTGCTTTGTCCCAAATATTTATGAATTTTTATCCAGAAACTATTGGGCTTTTTATGCATCCTTACTCTACTAAACTAGGTTTTGGTTTTTTTTATGTTTTAGTGGTTTAGAAATATATTTTATGCAATATTTTAGGAAGCAAATAAGAAATAGCTGCTTTACGGGGAGAGGGTCTATGGTTTTAATTTGTGAATTGCTTTCTTTAAATTAGGTTGAAAAACAAGCTGAAGCTGCGGAAACTGCAGTGGTAGCAGCTGCAGTGGCTGTGACTCCAAAAGTAAGCCCTAAAAGAGGAAGACCAGCAGGTAACTTTAAACAAAAAGGAATTTTATTTATTTTTCCCCATACAAAATAACTTAATAGAGATGGTCAGAGGATTTATTGCCCCCAGTTCTCCGGAGTATTACAGAATATTTCCTAATATGTAAACTTCCAATTTTTAATTTTTTTAAATATATATATAAATATATATATACACATCTAAACTATCCTACATGGCAACCTGAGGTATTTAGCAATTTAGCACATAAAGGGCCTTAAAATGTTTATGGTTATGCTGGGTCCTCTGAAATGAGGATCATTGTATTCCCTTGCAAGTATCACCTTTAGGAAAGCCGCCATAGGATTCTGCTAACTTACAGACTATGCAATAAGACCTCTGTTTCACTGTGGCTTCACAAAGGTTTATATTAATCAAAGATGTATACAAATGGTACTTAAGTTGTGTTAGAATATCCATAAAACAAGTTTTAAAAAAATGGGGGGAGGGAGACTGTCTATAGGAAGAGCTCAGAGGACACTAAAAACAAGTGAAGAGCTGGAGAGATTTTGCTGAAAAGACGTTTAAAGGAAACCTCTGTAGACCGATAGACAACTGAGAAGAAAATATAGCTATTAGAAGCAGCATGTAATTTAAAAGATTTTGCTAATAGTTCTGCAGTACTTGTTTGTGAAAGTAGCAATGATTTAATTGCAATTCTTATGGCAAGTTTGCAAGCATTCTTGAAGGAAATGTTTTAAATTTGTTTACTGCTAACATGGGGAAAGTTATTGGAGCACTTAAATACGCTATATGAGCATTTAGTCTGGGAAACAGATAATTTAATACTTTATACTCACCTGTATCTGGTAGTAGTATGAAAATAACTTTAGAAAGCGCAACCATAGTTAGCTCCCAAGGCAAACTATTTAAGACTAGATGTGAGGAAATGAAGTATTACCTTAGTACTTCACCCACTTTCATTATATTTATTAAATGAACATTTTTAATATTTTCATGTGTGTGGGATTATATCGATCTTTCAAATGAATTGTGTTTATACAAGCTATAAGAGCAGGAAAGGACCTTTACAAGAGATGCTTTGGCACCCTATGGGAAATGTGTTACCAGATGATGTACTGTGCAGCATTCTCTCATGTTAATATGATGCATGCATCTCTTGCTTAGCAGTGCTCCACACTAACAGCAGCAGCACTTCAAACACTGGGCTGTTAGGTTTTTTTCCTAACAGAATGTTCACTGGGGATAGCAGATAAGCATGTTCCATAAATTTCAATCCATAATGGCAGCATACTAAGTATTTTCATTTTACAGAATTTGAAGGGTATAAACATCAAGAAGGTGGATAAACTATTTAGCTCGCTTTAACACTGAAACATGGTGAAATTGAGAAAATGTAGAACTGTGCTGTATACCTCAGTGTGGTGGTAGAATTTCTTGACACTGATTTACTCTCAGGGAAAGGGATGGAAGCTCCATGAAGCTCTTTACTACTACTAAATAGGCTGAGTTTAGATTTGCACACTAAATTACAGAATCATTGAATCACAGAATCATTAAGGTTGGAAAAGACCTCTGAGATCATCGAGTCCAACCATTAACCTAACTGCCAGGTCCACCTCTAAACCATGTCCCTAAGCACCGCATCCACACATTTTTTGAACACTTCCAGGGACTGTGATTGCACCACTTCCCTGGGCAGTCTGTTCCAATGCCTAACCACTCTCTCCGTGAAGAAATTTTTCCTAATATCTAATCTAAATCTCCCCTGGCACAACTTGAGGCCATTTCCTCTCATCCTGTTGCTTGCTGCCTGGGAGAAGAGACCGACCCCCACCTCACTACAGCCTCCTTTCAGGTAGTTGTAGAGAGCGATAAGGTCTCCCCTCAGCCTCCTCTTCTCCAGGCTAAACAACCCCAGCTCCCTCAGCCGCTCCTCATAAGACTTGTTCTCTAGACCCTTCACCGGCCTCGTTGCCCTTCTTTGGACACGCTCCAGCACCTCAATGTCTTTCTTGTAGTGAGGGGCCCAAAACTGAACACAGTACTCGAGGTGCGGCCTCACCAGTGCCGAGTACAGGGGCACTATCACCTCCCTGGTCCTGCTGGCCACACTATTCCTGATACAAGCCAGGATGCCATTGGCCCTCTTGGCCACCTGAGCACACTGCTGGCTCATGTTCAGGCAGCTGTCAACCAAGCCCCCCCAGGTCCTTTTCCGCCAAGCAGCTCTCCAGCCACTCCTCCCCCAGCCTGTAGCGTTGCATGGGGTTGTTGTGACCCAAGTGCAGGATCCGGCACTTAGCCTTGTTAAATTACTTAAGTTTCCCCCCACACACACTTATTATTGTCTTATTATTCCACTTATTATTCTCTTGTTTCAGGCTTGGGGTTTTTTTTATTAGCTGTGTAACATGAGGCATGGCCATTCTGACTGCACTGGGTGGAAAAGGCACAGGAACAGATGGTTTAAACCTCTTAGAGTGCTATCTTAAAGTACCAAAGTGTTGGTTGAGATTTTAATTTTTCAAAGGGATCTCGATTAAACTTTGATACACAGTTCCAACATTTGAAGTTTTTAAAATAGAGTATTTACCCTACTAAGTTTGACTCAAGTGTTTCTTCTCTGTGTTGACATGAGAAACAATCCTTTTAGGTAAGGAACGAGTGGTGGCTGTAGACTAACCTGTTCTTTTTATATAATTAGCTACTGAAGTAAAGGTTCCAAAACCAAGAGGGAGACCCAAATTGGTGAAACCACCTTGTCCTTCAGAGATCGACATGTGAGTTGGCTTTTTATATAAAATGCCTGTCTTCATTGTAAACCAAGTGGTTGCATTTGATGAGCCGTCATGACTTACTGAGTTCCTGCCCAGCATTTTCTTTGTAGTACTCAGTATAAGTTGGATGTTGCAGTCAGGATGGGTGGACAACCAGATGGGTAAAAAAAGTGGTTGGATGATTGGGCTCAGAGGATAGGGGTTAATAGGTTGTTTTCTACCTGGAGGCTGGTAACAAGTGGAATACTGCAGGGGTCTATCCTGGGACCTGTCCTGCTTAACATCTTTATCAATGACCTGGAGAAGGCGACAGAGTGCACTCTCTTTGAGTTTGCAGATGACAGCAAATTGGGGGGGTGCCGTCAATACACTTGAGGGCAGAGCTGCCATCCAGAGGGAACTAGACAGGTTGGAGGAATATTCCATACCATATGACGTCGTGCTCAGCAATAAAAGCTAAGAGAAAGGAGGGGGAGGAGGGGCATTTGTTATTAAGGCATTTGTCTTCCAAAGCAATCGCTACGCGTACAGAGGCTCTACATCCCAGGAAGAG